AGGGAGGGGCGCGATGCACTTGTTGAAGCTGGACCGTCGCTGGAATGTGAAGCACGCCGGGCACCCTCACCGGGATCCGGTGCCATGGGCGCCTCGTCCTCTGCCTCTCCCGCTTCCCCCGTCCGCTGGGCGCGGGCAGCCCGCGGGGAGGGAAGGAAGGAAGGGAGGGAAGGCGGCGCAGGGCGGGAGCGGCTGGAGGTGCCCGGGAAGGGGAGCGGCGGGGCCGGACCCGCCGGCTGTGGATTCATATCGGGGTGTCAGACACTCCTTCAGCCAGAAGGAAACGGGTTAAATGGTAAATTTGGTTGGCGAATGTGTAATTAATACTTGGGAAACCTCGTGCTGTCCCGGTGATTTTTTTTTTTTCACTAGAATTAAAAGTGTGAGGTGTTACAGCTGTGGGCCACGCTTGCTTTGCTTGTTTATTTTTAAGAGGTGCTGTTGGTGTCTTGGTTTGTACATTCCAGTTAAGATATGTCCTTTTCCTCTCAGTTTATTGTAGTTTGCTGTTCTGAGGTTATGCAAGATCAATAGTCATTACTTATTTATGTTTCTAGTAACACAGTTATAATGAATGCAAAGAATCTATCCTGGCAATACATTCTTTTTTTTCAGCCAGTATTTCTGTAATCTTTAATTCATGGTGATAAGTACTTAAAATGAATTTCCTTGGTTGTCTGTAGATACGAGCAAAGGGCTGGGTAATGAGCCACCTGCTCGTGGGTGGGAGGAACTCTCACATCACCAGTTTTGAGTGGCTGGTTGTGCAGAAGCGAAGGGTTTGCTCTGTTGGTGCATGGGTGGCTGTCCCGAGTGAGAAGGTCGTCGTATCGTCCCGCTCTTTTGTGCCGGGTAGTGCCTTTGTGCGAGCCAATGGCTCCGCTTGCAGAGCCGGAGCGCTGCCTGCAAGCCTTTGGGTGAAAACCTGAGCCCAGCGATGGCCCAGAGTTAGTCCAGGTGTAGAAGACAACACAGGCAGAGGGGACGGTCTTGGCTCTATGCGAATCCTGTGGTTTGGCACGGGAGAGGAGGTAGCAGCTGTCAGGGGGGACACTACGGCTTCCTGTGTGCGGAGCGGCCGCACGGGCTGTGCAAACACACCTGGGGAGAGGGGGAAGACAAACAGTGATGTTCTACAGGAGCGAGTGCTGTCCCTCACCTTGGTCTCAGGGTAAGGCAATGGCTCTGTTTTAACTCTAAAATACCTTAAAGGAGCTGGTAGATGTTTCAGCTGTTTACTTAACACGACTAAATACAGGAGCCTTTCTGCAGGGCTCTGTAACTCACAACAATTTTCTGCTGTAGTACTACCACTTAATGTTCAGCTTCACTGAACCTCGGCTGGGAAAACCCATATGTAAGCAGTGTGCCTTCTGTTCGTGTTGCCAGTGCTCTCTGCTTTCCGGAGCTGCAGGGTAGATCCTGTTGTTATATGGCTGTGAAATCAGGGTAAACCAGGTCAGAAAGATGAAGAACATTTTTATCTGAATAATGCAGATGTGATGGTGGAGGAAAATGGGAAAGGACTTTTATCTTGGAGGGAGTAGGACTAAACTGAAAAAAGTTTAATTTCGAGCAGCATGCTTTTAAGCACCAAGGCATTATGTTGTAACAGTAGTGCTATGGGAGTACTACAGTGTGCTGGAATACTACAAAATGCAGTGCACAGACGCAAAGGATTTTAAAGACTCGCTAACATGTGAAAGAATATAGGGAAAGAATCTATAAGGTTCTGTGCTTTGCTTAAAAGCTTTCCATATAGTGACAGTGCTGAGCTGAAAGTAGCTGCAGTTAGAAGTCCTTGCAGTACCTGTAGCACTCTGTGCAGCTGTTACTGTTGCTGTCAGGAAAACACAAGAAGCTGCGTGTTTTGCTCAGAAGATAATTCTCTGGCGGGGTGCGGGACAGGTCACAGGTAGCTTGAAAGTAGGAGAGCCTCTCAGCCCTCCTATGGGTAAGCACTGCATGAACATGAGAAACAATTCACTCTACTGGGTGACTTGTGTAGTAAGTGTGATCCTAGTAAAAAAAAAAAGTATGTCCCATACCTGCCTTCCTGGTTTGTATAAAAGGCTGAAAAGTTGTTCTAAGAATGTGCTCTGTGCCTACACTAGAAATCTCACGTTAGGCATCGTGTGAATTGGTGGAGGCTCCACTAGAAAAGGATATGTGCTTTTAATAGGTTAATTGCTAACTTGTCTTGACCTGTTTTCAAGCATATGTTGCGAGCACTTGGTTCCTCCTAAATAGCTGAAATGCTGCTTAATTGGGAAACTCTCAATCATTTCTTAGATCAGTTCATACACTGGCATTCTTGGTAATGCTTAGCTGTAAACACCCTTTAAAAGGAAGCTTTTAAAAGGCACTGAAGCCAAGCTATTTTTGTGTGTTGCTGAAATGAAGTGTTAACTCAATAACTTACTGTCTTCAGCTGCAGCTGGGAAGGTGCTGTGTGTAACAACTCCTGTTTGCTGTGATACCCCATTAGGAAGCAGCACAGGTGTGTACTGAGTGAATGGCCTAATGTGTTGGAATGGGGCTGGCAGGCTGTGCTGTCTGTCAGCTCACAAATCCTACTGTTTCCTTTCCTCATCCATACCTATTATTCAGTCTTATCTTTGACTGCGGGTTCTTTGAGGCAGAGACAGTCTTGCCTGTCTTCTCTTCCTGGTACCTGACAAGGACTTGTGAGTGCTCTTGTAATTCAAACAATAAATAATAGATTTTGCTGTGCAGTGCATACAGACAACTCTGCTGTGGTCCCTTAAGCTTGCATGTCACCAATTCCAGGCTCTGAGCAGCCCAGTGGGGAGCACTGTTTGCAGGAGTTGTCCATGTGGAACAGGACAGTCATATGCATAAGACGTAGGTGATCTGTAGGGTCGGGCTCAGCCTTCCCTCCTTTTCAACATTCAGGACCTAATTATCAAGAACCTGTAGAGTGGTGGGGTCCAACTGCTACACCCAACAGCAACAATGAACATGGAGCAGTCTGAAATACTGAGAACGCCATGGACTGGACTGAACAGGAAGAGTCTTAGCAACAAAAAGCCAACCTCATCTCAGGCAAAGTTTCTGCCCTTTGTAACCAGTGAACGGAGTGTTAGCTGTGAAAATACTGACCCGATGTGACTGTGGTTCTTCGTACCACTGATCCCAGTGGTAGCAGAATGTCCCATTACGGCATCATTTAGCCATCATGAATGGATACAGCTGTCTAAAGATGAGTACCATGGACAACCGGAGGAAGCAGAAGGAAACTTCCATCAGTGATTTTTCATGCCCTGGTGGCAGCTGCCGTAAGGCTGTGGCAGTTGTATAGTTTCCTCGGTAAGAATATTGTATTTTTCAGAGAAGTCATTTTCTGAAACCAGTTAATTAGGACAGTTATTTCTGGCCGTGGCATTTGTAGAGAACAGAAGGCATGATTGTTCTTATATTTGTTTCTCTGAGTCCTTTGATCGACTAGAAGCTCTCGATGCTTTACGCTATAAATTACCTCAATCCTTTGGCAGTTCACTTCTTTTCTTGTGTACTTGGTTAGGAAAATGCAGAAATCCTTGTGACTCAGCTACAGACTACTATAAATTATGAAGAAATGGGGGAGGGGGTCACATTTCACATTAGGAAAGGCAATTCTAGGAGGATGGGAGGAATACTGGTTGCTAAATTTGAGATAAGCATCTTATGGTATCTCAAAATCTGAGCAGCTACTGCCACCTAGAGATGCACGAACCACACAGGCTGCTCGGGCTGGCTCTGGCAAGGGAGCCTGCACCATTAAAATGAGTTAATCCCAATCCTTCTGACTCCTCAGTATAAATTTAGTGTAACAGTGCGGACTTTTTTCAGCTCTGCAACTGAGGTGTTACCTGTGAATCCTGTTCTGGCAATTTAGGTAATTAAGTTTTATACAGTCTTCTCTGTCTGACTTGAATAGGTAAACAAGAAGCATCACTTTCAGTAAGAAAGTATTTGCAAGTCAAATTTATACTTGTTTGGTACAGCTGTTGGTGAGACTTTATAGCCTGTCTAAAGGTTGCACAAATAAAATGCAATGTAGAACTAGTCCCTGAAGGATTTGAGTTGGGTTGCAGGTAGGTTTGTTCCCCATCCCATCGTTGAAGTCTACTTGTCAGGGGCTGTCCTTTATTAGATATTTGGTGGACTAGAAAAGCATCCTGATTTTTCCCAATGTATTGAGTCAGCAGCCTTTAGGTTGGTTTCAGTAGATTCATACTTTTCTTCATTTAAAAGTATCAAAGTTAAGTTGAGTACACAGGTATTTGTTGCTCCCTCAAATCTAACAACGTGGAACGCACTTGTTGTATCTGCTCTTTGGTTCTTTTGAGCTCACAGCTTCTGATTTTTGCTCTGTACATCAACCTGCTATAGCAGGTTCTTCCTCTGCATTCGAGAGAGTGCTGTTCCATATTTAATTTGTGAAGAACTGCTCACAGAGAGAAACAACGTGTCTCTTTCACCCACTGAACTCACAATCACATGTGCAATTAGTTGTTTGACTCTTAGAGACACAGGATGATTTGGGGGCTTTTATAATAACTGCTAACCCTTGGCTATCAGATGCCCAGTGGAATAAGAAAACCAAAGCAGCTAAACCTCAGTTTAACCAAACTTGGAGTTGATAAGCCACTGCACGATTGCATGTACTATATAACTTTCCATGTGATGGATTTTTTAATTTCTTAAGATACTTGAAGTCTGTCAGCGTAAAGTATAATGGGATAAGATCTTAATGCATAACTTCTTAGGGAATAGAGTTTTTTCCTGTGGGAAGCTGAGGAGCTATGATGCAGGGATATTTGCCACAAGTCAGGAGGCAACTGCAAACTGTTTATAACTTGTCAGAGTGCATGAGAGCTGTTGTACCAGTCTAGAGTTTGAAAAACTGCTCTTGGCTCTCCGGAGTTCCACATCAACCTCAGCCTTTCCTTTATGTGCACTGAGCTACAAGTAGGCTTTACATGCATGTAGCATAGAGGAGGAGCCTGGAAAAAAGTTGAACTAAGCAAAATCTTGAGCAAAATGCTGTTATATGTTCTCTTCTAATTCAGCAAAAGATTCACCCCAGAATCCGGTAGTACATATCTTTTAAAAGTGAGTTAAGTTTAATCTTGTGCCTTATCTAATGTGATCGAAACACTGCTTTCTTTAAACATAACAGCTTCTGGAGAACTGCAGTTTTGTCTAGATCAAGGAATTAAAGGTTGTGATCTCTGGATTCCTTAGTCCCTTATGCCATTTACTTTCTGAGCTTGGTGCAACACTGAGTGTCCATATGGTTTAGTTTATCCATCTTTACACTGACCATGACGTTCTTGTTGAGTGTTCAGTACTTGATACGCTGAGCAGAAAAGAAATTAAATCTAAACTTTATTCAAAGGCTGAATTAGTAAGTAAACCAGTCACCCCCTTAGTCACAGTTGTCACTGCACACAGAAGTGTATGGACACTGTTGGGATGAGCGACAGGACTTGTTTTGCAGTATTTCTAGGTAATTGTGCCTGCTGGCTGCCTCCATTAAGACTTGGATCTTCACTTGCTATTTACATTCCTTCTGAGTTGATAATCCAGTTTGACTGAGCCGTAAATGCCAAGAGAGAAATGCTATTTGATAGAATTTGTACTGAAAGCCAGTGTGAGTCCAAGGGGGAAGCAAAGTCACTGACAAGTTCAAGCTGGCAAGGATGACCTAACCAGGATCCATGCCAGGAAACTGTGGTGAAGTATGAATGTGCTGCTGAACATCATGACCATCCTTTATCTTTATAATTGGTTGAACCAAAACTAGAAATAAACACACGTGAAGTTCTCCATTTTTGCTTTTTCAGATGTAAACATTACACGTTATGTCAATGTAATGGTTTTTTTTGTTGTTGGCAGCTTATGTCGCACAGGTGAAGAAGGATTGTTTTTATTCTACAGGGGGCAAAGAAGGATGTTTCACATGTCATTGCAGCAGCAGGGTACTTACTGGTGTGGTGTTGGCAAATTGCTGCCAATGAAATGGTGCAAAGAGAGAATATGCAGGTGCACCTTTACATCTTCTCACAGAAATGTAGATTTTGTGCAATGACTTGCAAAAGAATCTCTGAAAGTGAGTTTTCCCCTTAAAAGCTAATGATTGGCATGTGAGTTTAAAACAGAGAATAAAGCTGCCTTCCTTGAAAGACTCATTTTAAGTCCTTTTCTCTTCCAGTTTTGCACCAATGATAGATTTCTGCTGCCCCCTGTGCAAAACTTTTCTGCCATTGAAACTGCAAAAGTAGGAGGAATGTCACCAGTGAGCAAGGATGTTGCAAAAGGATGTGAGTCAATTCCACACGCCTCCATTAAAAAAAAAAAAGGCAGAAATAATGTTTAAGAAGAAACTGGGTAGAGGTCTAAGCCTCCAAAGAAGTCTACCTTTGAGACTGACAAACCTAGAGGCAACATCTTGAATTCCATAAGCCTCAAGCATGAAGTCATATGACTGGATTCTTAACCTGTTTTGTTCAACGTGGATATTGTTGTATTTTTTTTCCTCGCTCTGATTCTTGTAACTGTTATGAAACTTATAGACCCTTATGCTTGGAAATGCTATAAATCATTTCCCCTGCCTTTAGCTAATGGAAGGACAGGTATGCAGTGAAAGCCAGAAAACACAATAAATAACTTCCATGTCTACTTTAAATTAAACACTTTGGAGCAAGTCTTCAGTTGCAAAGCACCACCAGACCTGTTAATATTCAAGTTGTACTCACTAGAAAATGGCTGCAGGGGAACTGCTGATACTCTGCATATCTTGTAATTAGTCACGTTCAGGCATAGCTTTGTTGAGGATAGTCCTGAGCCACTGGTATTTTAACAGAAAAGATGGATCTGTGGAGATACATTGGAAAACAAGATGACTGGAACTCTTTTTTTTTTTTTTTTTCCTTTTTATTTTTGGTGATGGTGCTGCTACACTGGCTTCATCCCCTGGAAGTGCTGGACATCCATATTAAAACTAGGCATAGTCTTGCTCTTCTCATTTTGTCCAACTTAAGGCTGACCCTTGGTCCCTGGAAAGCTGCCTGGTTTGTGTTTATAGGGCTGGTAAATCCGTGCTTGTGCAGTGGTACTTCTCCATGGGAATAGGTCTTTCCTGAATTTCATAGCAAGTTTGCTGCAGGTAAAAGCCTCTGGATGAGACAGATACTTGTGTTGCATTTCAATCCCACTTCGTAGAGGTTTTAATTGTGAAGAATATTAATGTTTTAACACTAGCTTTGTTTTCCTTGTTGTTCTTTGTTACATGATGGTCGAGCCCACAAACTGGAAGCAGGAGGCTGAAAGCTGAAGAATGAAAGAAGAAACAAAAAGCCATATGGCAATAGCAGGAGTTCCTGCCACCCCACCTTAGGCTCGTGACAACATGCCCTACATTTAACCTACAGTCAGGAACTAATTAACGACACAGATGGAAGTGAGCTAGCATATGTATTCCAAATAATACCCCTAAGGTTTTAATCAGCCTCTTTCTGTGTTAGACATCTATGTTACCATAGAGAGATTTGCAAAGTATGTGGATGATATATGTGGTAAAGACAGCTTTGTGTAGTGGCTGAGGTGAGGGACCAGGGCCAGGGGCTCTCTGTTCTCCTCTGGTTCAGGAGCAACTTGCTATATGCAACCTGGGGTAAGATGTTGAAGCATATTTGTGGGCTTCAGGCTACCCAGAAGGAAAACAAGGTTTCTGATGTGGTTCCTCCTCACCTAAGTGTGTTGAGATTCAATGTTTGCAAAGCACTTTGGAGGCTTTGATAGCGTGTTCTCCAAGAAATGTTGTGCAGCTGGAGAGTCACAGTAGCAAAAGCACCAGATCTCTCTGCTTTTGCAACTTTTTTTTAATCTCTATAGCTACTAATGATCTCTGGCATGACAGCTCTGCTTTTGATTTTGAATAGGATGGTGACTTCTAGGTAGTCTGTTATGTTGTGGAGATACTTGGGAGAGGGAGAACACTTAGATATGTCCAACAGACTGATTGGGTAATTTAATGTTTCTTGCTTTAACTTTCTCTTTCCTCCCCCACCCCCAGCTACTTGAAGAGAAGCCGTCCTTCCCTGCAGGGTAGTAGAATCTGCTTACGTGAAGGGACAGGTATTGAAGTTTTTTGGAGAACTGTTTATTTAATGACTGAAATCTCATATACAAACCTACCCTTTGGAGCTTAAGGGCTCTTACAGTGAGGACTTTGCTGGCAGCAAAGCCACTTTCTTCAGTGGGGGGGGGTGTGCATGAAACAGGACACCCAAGTGAAGGAACCTTAGGTGGTATTGGGCTGG